CAAGCATTTGTATTCACCGGTTTAGCCTCCGCCTCTCCAGCAATATGTGGATATATGCCGGTAGTGCAAACCAGGTATTTCCGGTACAGGTGTTCAGCGACACCCACGCAAACACCTTTGCACTCGTAGCAGGTGTTGGGAGGGGTGGTGGCAGGGGATAGGGGGTTGGGGTTGGGGATGGGGGAGATGGGATAGGGAGAGTGAGGGAAGAGTGGGGAAACGAGGGGTGGGGGTGTTAGGGGAGATGGGATAGGGAGAGTGAGGGAGGGGTAGGGGAAAGAGGGGGGGTGTAGTGGGAGATAAGATAGGGAGTGGAATGGAGGGGTTTGGGGAGAGAGCTTGGGGTTGGGAGAGTAAAGGAGGGGGTAGGGAGGAGAGGGTTGGGTAGGATAGGTTGTGGGCGGGGTAGGGAGGAGTAGAGAAGGATATGAAGGTAGGGAAAAGAGAGGGAAGGAAAAGAACTGGAAGGAGGGATGTGATAAAAGGATAGGCATAGGATAGTAGTGAAGACGAGGGGCGGGGTAGGGGATGAGTAGAGAAGGATATGAAGGTAGAGGAGAGAGAGGGAAGGAAAAGAACTGGAAGGAGGGACGTGATAAAAGGATAGGCATAGGATAGTCAAGAAGACGAGGGACGTTAGATATCCAAGATCCTAGAGAAGAGGGGAAATAGGAGAGGAGGAAAGAGAGGGGAAAAGCGAGGACCACAGAGTGCTTGCCTTCACCGCCACACACCTGTAATTAGCGAAGCCCTAGGCGAGTGGGCGGGGCCGAATTTCGCAGTTATCTCACGCACGTTGTCGATTCGGGTGACTAGGCTGTGTGGGCGATTTGATTGGCGGGGGTTGGTGATTATGCAAACACACACGCACGCTCGGAGGCACACACAAACATGTGCATAGATAGACAGATCGGTAGATTGGTAGATTACCACAAACACGCATATGTGTGTATGTGTATAGACACACACACACACGCACACACACACACGCACATACACATATATATGTGTGTGTGTGATTATAGATAGTTAGTACATACTATACATACATATTATACATACATAATATATAGTATATTTATATATTATTATTATAATACACACCACACACACACACACACACACACACATACACACACACCACACACACACATCACCACACACACACACACACACACACACACACACTATATAATATATATACATATTATATATATATATATAATATATATATATATATATATAATATATATATATATATATATATATATATATATATATATTATATATATATATATATATATATACATATATATATATATACACATATATATCTATGTGCATGTCTTTGACTGTGCGTTACCGTATGTATATGTGCGTGTAACAATAAAACAAAAACAAAAACACAGATAAAGACAGACAGACATACAAACAAACACGGACACACACAAACAGACATCGCTCTACACATGAAACCGCCCGACATGCACCGGCAGCACTCGAGGGCAGATACACCTACGCTGATGAATACACGTCATTCCCCCCCCAAATGGTTTTATTTACTGCTATTTTCATCTATAAATAATCTGATAATCATGTCCATAATACGGGTGATTCAGTGCATTCACCTTTCTGTCCATAAATGTCCTAGTTTGAATGTTAAAGTTATA